CTCCACCTTTCTCCAACACACAAGCTCTTAACAAATCTTCTAACGACTGAATCGTTCTCTCCGTCTGACCATCTATCTGTGGATGATAAGCGGAACTCAAACGCAACTTAGTACCCAAAGCTTCTTGCAATCCCGTCCAGAATTTAGATGTAAACCTCGGTTCTCGATCTGACACAATACTAGAAGGAATACCGTGCAAACTCACAATCTTCTCAACATACAATTCTGCCAACCTTTCCATCGGATAATCCATTCTTATCGGAATAAAGTGGGCAGATTTCGTCAACCGATCAACAATAACCCAGATAGAATCACAATTCTTCGATGTCCTTGGCAAACCAGACACAAAATCCATAGAGATTCCATCCCATTTCCATTCTGGAACAAAAAAAGGTTCCATCAATCCTGACGGTTTCTGATGCTCAATCTTCGACTTCTGACAAACCAAACAATCATACACAAACTCAGCAATTTCCTTTTTCATTCCCGGCCACCAAAACAACTTCTTCAAATCATGGTACATTTTAGTAGCACCAGGATGAATACTCAATCCACTACGATGTCCTTCTTCCAAAATACTCTTCCTAATCTCTGCAACATCCGGAACACACACCCTATTACCAAATCTCATAACACCATTCTCATCAATCCGGAACTCGCCTCCTTGACCTTGGTTGATCAATGTCAATTTATCAACTAACCCAACATCGGACTTCTATCCATTCCGAATTTCTTCCAGAATACCACTAGTCAGTTTCAACATACCCAATTTCACACTATTCGGAGTAGTTTCACATACCAAACTTAAATCTCTGAACTGCTCAACCAAATCTAACTCACGGACCATTAACATCGACATATGCAAGGACTTCCTACTCAAGGCATCCGCAACAACGTTTGCCTTACCAGGATGGTAATTCAAACCGAAATCATAATCCTTTAGAAATTCTAACCATCTCCTCTGCCTCATATTCAACTCTTTCTGATCAAAGAGATACCTCAGACTTTTGTGATCACTGAACACCTCAAACCGAGAACCATATAAATAATGCCTCCACAACTTCAAAACAAACACAACAGCTGCCAACTCCAAATCATGAGTCGGATAATTCATTTCATGTACTTTTAATTGTCTCGAAGCATAAGCCACCACCTGCTTATCTTGCATCAACACACCACCTAATCCCATTAATGATGCGTCACAATACACAACAAAAGACTTAGTCAGATTTGGCAAAATCAAGATCGGAGCACTTGTCAACCTCCTCTTCAGCTCTTGAAATCCTTTCTCACATTCAACATCCCAAACAAACATCTGACCCTTCCTGGTCAACTTAGTCAACGGTAACGCTAATTTGGAAAATCCTTCTATAAACTTCCTGTAATAACCTGCAAGACCCAGAAAACTACGGATCTCAGAAGCATTCTTCGGCGCTTCCCACTGAGATACTGCTTTTACCTTCGTAGGATCCACAGCAATTCCAACACAACTCTGAGATGTTCTGCATGCTCTTCATCGCTCTTCGAATAAATTAGAATATCATCAATGAACACCACCACAAACTTATCAAGATACGGATGAAATATCCTGTTCATATACTCCATGAAAACACTAGGTGCATTAGTAACTCCAAACGGCATAACAGAATACTCGTAATGTCCATACCTCGTTCTAAATGCAGTTTTCTGAATATCTTCCGACTTCACACGAATCTGATGATATCCAGATCTAAGATCAATCTTACTAAATACACAAGCTCCAACTAGTTGATCCATCAAATCATCGATCCTTGGCAAAGGATACCGATTCTTAATTGTAACTTTATTCAGCTGTCTGTAATCAACACATAATCTCATTGAACCTTCTTTCTTCTTAAACAACAACATCGGAGCACCCCACGGAGAAACACTCGGACGAATAAACTTCTTCTAAAAAAAATCCTCAAGTTGACTCTTCAACTTTCTCAATCTAGAAGCAGACCTCTTATAGGCATCCTCGAATTCGAACTAGTTCTAGTAACAAAACCCATTAAGACTTCACCTTGCACTCTCACACCGTTCCACTCACTTCATCACGGAACACTTCATAAAAAAAATTACATCCAATAGGTCACATGCCTTTTTCTTGCTCTCGCCGAGATCTAAATCTCTCGTTACGCAAACCATAATGCTTCTCTTCTTGCCGACTCAACTAATTTCACACACTGTAAAGCTGGCACAATAAGTACATCCCATCTAACGCGATCCCGACTACTATCAACAAGAGATTAAGGGTGATCAGTTCCTCAATTTGTCAATAGATAGTCAACAATCATGAGGTGGCATCAACCATTGTTACCAAACCATAACAGCATCTTCAATCTTACCCTTCAAGCTACTTAAACATAACCATGCTTGAAGCATCAACTGCTCGACAATACTTACATCTTACAATCGGCGGTATACTGAACCAACCTCTTGCACAAAACTTCAGAGAAGAAACTTCTCCCCCACTTATTTCACACGTACCTCTGCAGACAACGAAAAGGAAACAATCAAGTACCGACAGTGTTTCACACACATGTCGTATACCAAAAGGGAGTAAACACATAAGCAACCTGGCCGATAGACCGACCTGCTCTGATACCACTATTGTAACACCCCTTCTAAGTAACCCGCGAATATATTAATTAAATCAGAGTAACATGAAAAACAGGGATGTCACAATTCAAGATAAATATAAAACCTCAAATTTACAATTGTCATGCTTTACTGAAGGAATTATTATTATAAATATTTAAATCAACATCATGTTCTACACAGCGGAAATATCTCAAAACCGGAATAACTTCACTTCATAAGTATTCCCAACATAAATTAAACAATAGAGTATAAAACAAAACTCATCATTCAAACGTTTCCCCCAGTGTTACAACCTATCAGAGCACGACACTGACACGCGGACTTAAAATAACATGGCTCTAGAGCCATCCTCACCAACTCCTGAGCTGCTAACTTTAATCTGAAATCATTAAAGTAAGGGTTAGATTTCTCATAATTAACATGCATTATAAGTTTCTCAATCAACATTATATCACGAGCATATTATTTCACCCATTTTAGCATAAATTCAGATTCAACACACAGTTACAATCATACAAGTCATTATGCACAATTCAAGAATCAACCAAAGAATTGTAACACTGGAAGACATCCTAACATGTTACAATTCCATGCAAACATAAATGCAGACACAATGCATGTGGTACCAACACGTGACCAAGTCACCATCACTGATCCATCACACTCGGATATAGTAACCATCGATTCGTCCATCACACTCGGACATGAATCCATCCGAAGCAATCATCGATTCGTCCATCACACTCGGACATGAATCCAGCCTAACCACCCATCATCTCTCGGGTATCGGTTAAAGGCAATACAAGTCAAATTCCACACAATGGGAATTAACTTCACCAAAACGATGCATATGCATGCACATCACCAGCATGCAACATCAAATCAGTCTATGAAATACATCAATTTATCATAACTGAACCAAAACCAAAAGAAACATGATATCATTATTTATCATACACACATCAAACAACATAAACATGCATTTCATCCACAAGGACCTGATACAATCAATTATCATGGATACACCATTGCATATACACCAAATATGCACATAATAACAAATCGCATAATCGGAAAGTCAACATCAAATCAACGGAATATGATCACGACATAATTCCAAATAATGCCAAAACCAATATATCACATGATCATATCTCAATCATAATGGATAGCAGGCACAACACATAAGTATCAGTTCTCATTCACCAAATCAGAACAACTTACAAACAATTCTACATCATTCTCAAAATACCAAAGTTTACAAAAATCGGGAATTCGACTCTTTTTAAAATAATTTTCATAAAATAAATTATTTTATAAGATAGAATTTTAAATTTAAGAAACACTGCCGAAAACGGCACTCAAATCGGACTTACGGTTTGAAAGTTATGAATTTTCAAAGTTAATATTTTTCAAAAAGTTACGTTTCTGGAAAATATACTGGAACTCGGTTCCTACCCATACAGGAACCGGTTCCTACGTTGAAAAAGTCAGTTTTTTCACAAATTTACACTGGGAACCCGGTTCCTCCCCACTGGGAACCGGTTCCTGCGACCTGAAAAGTCAAAAACTGCTATTTTGACAGCACTTATTCATTCCAATCCCATCCAATTCATACCCATACGAATCCAACTCACAGCAATGTCAAAACAAGTTATAGTGCATGATTCCAATGAGATTATAACACACCATAACATCATGCAATTCTCTCATAACATCAAATTGAATCAAAACATAAAATTCATGGGATTGGGGTTTGAATTTCATAAATCCTAAATTGGGATTCCTAACATGCTTAATCAATTCTATTGATCCCAAAATCTATAAGGCATAGTAATTAATCGAAATCACACCTTACCTCGCGATGATCCTTCGAATTCACGGCGTTTGGCTTTTTCCTCTCTTCTCTTCTCTTCTCCAATTTCACGTACAATGAGTTTTTCCAAAACCTTCTTTTCCTTTTTCCTTTTTATCCTTCTTTTTCTTTTCCTTTTATTATTTGCCAAATAATAATAATAAATTAGTAATTATTTTAGTAGAGCTTTTTACTTCACACACCTCTAATTCAATCTTACACCCCCTGTCTTCCTTTTTAATTCCATAATTAATTCATCCATTTAATCCAAAATATTATTAATTAAGCCTTTAATTAATTTAATAATTAAATTCCTAATTATTTAACACATGAATTAATTTGGGGTGTCAGAAATAACACCCATAACATCCCAATTATACTACAGAGATCCCATACATGTTAATACAACTGATCCCAAAATCCTCAGACCAACCCTACAAACTTAGCTAAATAAACTACACTTGAAATAATAAACAACTTCATGAATACATTGGGAGGCATCGCTTCATTACTTCACTGACTTTCAAACTGAAAATCCTAAGTCATTGCTTAAGCGTACATATGGTGATCGTAAAGAAATATCCGGAGGATCCTCTCCATCTGCTCCAAGAGTAGGACAACATCTTCTGTTGTGACCAGATGCGCCGCATATACCACATGTTTGTGTCTACCTACATCTCCCCGATGTACCAATAGTACTTGGTCCACAACCCTTGCTTTTTGAACATGAAAGGTTAAGTATATTTTCCAACTCCTCTGTAACATGTAAGTTTTCTAGAACATCTTCATTGTTGTACTTCGATTTAATCCTACTAAGTTCAGTAGTCAGATATTCTAAATATTTTTTGTCATAATCAACATCCATATGTGTCAAGTCAGCAACCTCCTTACTAAGATTCACCAAATTAGCATGTCTAGTAACCAAATGTGAATTCCAATAGTGTTAACCATGTTGATAACTTCCACTAATAGACTCCTTCACAAATAATGACTAATGATTCAACACAAGAGTCTTAGGAAATTCAACAATATAAATATAAACCATCATAACAACAATGTGCTCACATGGAATCCCAACAGATTCCATTCTAAGACATGAGTATCTGAAATCGTTATTCGATGGACAGTGGGAAACACGTCATCCATGCCCTTCGTATCAATATTTTATCACTGAATAAATTGTAAAGGACACCATATCTTGAGTATCTAATATAGATATTAAGGATGCCTTTTTCAAAACAGATTGTGCCATCTCAAATATCTCTTTTGTCTATTGCTTTGAAGTTGACATCTCAAGCACCCTAAGACTGGTCTGCAACACTGTCTGTCCATATTGGGATTGAAAATCACCTTGAACCTCTCTAAAGCGAAAATATGCCACACACCTATGAAATTGCTTAACAAAATCAGTCATATTCATCTTCGAGTGTACAAACTGACCCATATGGCTATGAAATGCTTCACACCGCGACATCGTTCTTATTTTTGCAAATACATTTCCATGAATATGAGTTGTTTCCCACATCTTCCTTTTTTGGTACAATTCATTGATCCAACTGTTTTCTTCTAAACCAAACATGTCTACCATTTCATTCTACAGATTCTCAAATTTCCAAACATCATGATCACCAAGCATGCATTTTTTGAAAATAGGGATGAAATTGGGATTACCAATGTTGGACATTGCATTTCGTAGGAGTGACATGCACATAACTTATAATAACTGTTGGGAAAGACTTTCCTGATTGCATTTCTCATAGCAACATCATCGCTCGTTATTACAAATATTGGTGTCTTACCTTTCATTGCAACCAAAAACTTCTCCAGCAACCATACATATGTCCCTTCAACCTCATTTGAAATTATGGCAGAAGCAAATATAATTGTCTGGTTATGGTGATTAACACCACAAAAAACAACAAAGGGGCACTTGTACTTATTTTTCTTGTATGTAGCATCGAAAGCAAGCACGTCGCCAAATAGTTCATAATTCTTTTAACTTTCACCATCACTCCAAAATAGGTTTTGCAATGTTCCATCCGCACCCACCGTGTGTGCAACAAACATCAATTGATCTTTAATGTGAAGATCAATAAGATACCTAACAACACCTTTAGCATCATAAGACATCTCTTTCCTTTGTCTTGCAATTTGACTATGTACGCCCTTCTTCAAAAATCCTACCTTATCATACCCCCGACAACATTTGCGAATGAACCAATCATTTGAGTTACTTTGATTTTGGCATTCCAAAAAATTTTAATTTGTATCTTATCTGACTTACTAAGCTTCCTATTACATGCCAACAGCCTGCAACGCTTCTCCTTTAACATCTTATGATTGTGCTCAAAGGTAAAAACTGTGACATATTAACGATGTGAAATTACATCAATATGAACTTGAAATTTTTCTCCACATCCACACCAAGTTTCGTGCTTCGGACTCCGCTTGCGATGCTCTACTCTGTCTTGCCTAAATCCTTCAAGGTTACAAACAAATGTTTGTTGAATAACATCTCCATTCTATTTTTAATAACTTGACCTTTACGGGCTGCAAAATTGTTCATCTTTGCAAACCAACAGTAAAATGTGTAAGCAATCTCCAGACTTCCAAATTGCAGCTTCGAAACATCATCATTTTGCAAGTTAAACATGTCCATCTTTGCAATGTCGTCAATCTCGTCGACAACAAGTCATTCGTCTGGAATTTGATCTAAAAATATCGATTCATTCAAACTGTCTGAACTCTATTCCAAACCTTTCCCATCAATTTCATCGTTGTTTGCATCTGTTTTTCAATATCCGTGTCCACCAACATCACCAGAACTGCTCTCGTCATCGTATTCACCACCATCAAATTCATCATCTTCATCCCCATCTTCATCATCGTATTCACATCCGTCAAATTCACCATCTTCATCCGCATCTTCATCATCATATTCAATTTCTTGAAACTCAGAATCTTCATCAACAGCTATGTTGTCACATTCAACAATATCCAAGCATCCATCACTAACAAAATCCAGTTCACCATCAACATTAACATGACCATTCTCATGTAAAATCTCATCAAGTGATTCCTAAAAAAATATAAATAACTAAATCAATAAATCAGAAACAAGATGGGTTACAACCACAAGATAAGATTGTTCGGAAATTTGACTTACAGAGTTAGCTTGCATTACTTCATGCCCAATAGCGTCACCGTCATCCATCTCCGATTAAATATATGTGAGTTACCTTTTTTATTCACAAAAACTTGCTTCAGACCTAAACCGTTAAAGAAAGAGGATCGAGAATGGAAGAAACGAAGAAGAAACCAGAAGGAAAGACAAAATAAAATGAAGAAAAATGGTTTCAAAAAATTTCAGATGGTGAGATGAAGACATCGGATGAGAGAAACATGTTGAGGGATGAGGGTGATATTATGTGTGATAGTGCAGGGAGAGATACTATAGACACCCAATCCAACGACTCATATTTATTTACGAAAGAAAAAAAAAAGTCTCTCACGTGAAAGACCTATAGACATCGTGCACAAGATACGACATCCATTTTAAAGATTTTTTAGCTTTTCAAATTCCAAAGTTTTAAAAATTGAAAGAAAAAATGCCAACTTAAAAATTCAAAAAGAATAAAAAATAAAATATAAAAGTCACTTGTCAGTTTGTCATTTAAAAACAAATTAGAAAAAGCAAGGAGACAATCTATGTTTTTTTTTTACATTAACATTTTTCCAATTCGTCCCATTCGACTAAAGAAAATGAGTATTAAACCTTTTATATTTTTAACAGTTTGAAAGATAAATTCTCATTACATCTCTTTCTTCACTTACCCTTTTGAGTTCTTTACCATCCCCAACTTTCCTTTTCCTCCTATCAATGGAATCTTCAACCATCTCTTAAGAAAGTATTAGATTTTATGGTTTTTACATTGTTAAGGATTATACTGATACACACGATGAAGATCTTATATTTTCTAATTCATAATGCATGAATTTGAGTTATTGAAATAATACTTCTAAGCCAAGTTCACAAAGGAAAGAAGATTCATCATTCACCATATTGAACATAGAGTTCACGCCACTGTATAGTTTAAATGACTTCAACATTTGACAGCATTAGCCCTTGTCATGATACAACTCTTGAAAGGAAATAAACAATACATTTACAGTGGAAAAAACACATGATAACAAAACAAAGCATCCCTAATCCATATCAATCTTGCAGTGATAACACTTCACATGTCAGACACGACAGATCCGAAAACGATTTTAAAATTAAACTTGATGCAGGTTAACAGATCGCCCTTGTCGTCCTTCAGTGTCATCTTTAGAGCATAAGGTCCCTGCAAAGATTAACATTAATGTAATGTTAAAATAAAATAGAAAATGTTTACCTCAATAAAAGATCATTATTGTCTAATCGCCTAAACATTGTCATCATCTCTACTCTAGTCTACCATGTCTATACTTATTTACAGCTCTTGTTAGGGTTATTTGTATGCATAGTTTATCTATAAGATTGATGGGCACTTGGAGGTCATAAATCATACTTTAAACATGTTCTAATTTTATCCACCTACCTTGAATCCAATGTATGACATTTGAATCACTTCCTAATGGATCCAAGATACTTCAACCACGAAGGAAAACCGAACATGTTTAAATGGTGTAAGGGAGGGGGAGAAGTGAAATCAGAGAGCTTTGTAGCCCTGTTCGACACATGTTGGTGTCCGACACAACACCAACCCGCGTGGTTATACCATTTTCTCAAATTATTACCGGTGTGGACGTGTATGTGCTAGTGCATCATAATCAAAGAATGAATACAGTAATGTAGATGTAGCATGAACTGAAGTAAACATACCAACCAAAGACAAGTACACAAACTAACCACTACCAAATTTCTGAATTTAGTTTTTAGCCAACGAAGATTCTAAATTTACACAAACAGAATAAACAATTGATTCACTCAAAGTTGCAATCCATTATACTGATTGGTTGCCTCTATCATCCTTAGTGTTATCAATTACGAATGGCGGATCATGGCATTTTAAGCTGCCATTTCATGCCATAAACGCCATGGCACCACCATAAATTTAGCACTTAAACATAATTATATAAAGTCTCTAATGCCGGAATGAGTATAAGCGTCCCGGCTCAAGGGGTCCAAAAAGATATCAAAGGAAGTTTTATTTCAATATAGGAAGATATTTATAGAAAACCTTAGGCATATTGAGTTAATTTGATAAAGTGGAACTAACCGGTGGAGTAATTGAAGGCAACGTTTGGGTGTGAGAAATCACAAAATTGCCACTAGCAACGGGACAAGATACTTCCTGACACAGATTAATGGTTTCAGAATGGACAGGCACACCAACATAGGAAACTCCAATGACCACATCTCCACCATAAAGAGCCTTACCTGCATGAAGTATAGACAGAAATTCCATTTACAATTCAGTAAAAATATAAAATAGATAAGCGGCAGATTAGATTGACGAGGAAGCTCCCTTAAGCATGAGCAACAAATAGAGTGAATGAGGATATAAATGATATTTTGTACAAGTCCTCGGCAGATTTTGCAAACAAAGTTGTTTAGATGAGATATTATGTTTATACATACTTGAAAACAATTTAAGCGTAAGCATGTACTGTAAATAACTGAGATTAACTTAGACTGAATGTAATGGGGTAAAGTAATACACACATCAAAATAAGGGTTTTAATTAAAAAAAACGTATGTGACTATCATATATAATGTATTTGATGCATGCATGTGCGTCAATTATTGGTGCATAAAGGAGAGATGAAAGACAAAAGAAATATATTAAATGACGACTATAAAATAAAGAGTAATGAATACATTGACCTACCTACTACTAGGCTATTTATACACAATATTAGGGTATAATAAAATACTAAAATACTCTCTAACAGACTTAGTCAATAAGACATTCCTAAAATATAAAATATTTCCAACATCATCTCTTAATTTATATTTACACAAAACTGACAACACCAATTCCATCCCTCAAACGAAGAAATTAATCAGTCTTGATAGCCTTTGTTAAACGTCTGCCAGCTGCTTCTAGGTGCTATAGTGCACAACTTCTAATATTTCACTTTGAACCCGATTCCTCAGAAAGTGATACTTGGTCTCAATATGTTTGCTTCTCCCATGCAGCACTGGATTTTTGGCAAGATTGATTGCAGACTTGTTATCAATCATCAACTTCAGAGGCTTGTTTACCTCGATCTTCAGATCCTGCAGCAAGTTCAGAATCCACACAGCTTGGCATGCAGTCAGAGCACCTGCAATATATTCAGCTTCACAGGTTGACCGCGCAACAACAGGTTGCTTCTTGGAATACCAAGAAATAGGACCTCCCAGAAATTTGAATAAGTACCCGGAAGTACTTCTTTTGTCAACTCTGACTCCACACTAATCAGAGTCTGAATAACTCATAAGTTCTGATTCGATCTTTCTTCCAGAAGGAAATAACACTCCATACTTCAGAGTTCCTTTCACTTGACAGTAGCTTGGTAATAAGAGCACTTTGGTTTACTCATAAATTTGCTAACCATTCCAACTGCATAGCAAATATCAGGTAAGGTATTACACAAATACCTCAGAGAACCAACCAATTGTTTGAAGGTTGTAGCATCCACATCCTCTCCATCAGAATCAGAGTCCAACTTATGATTCGTAACAGTAGGTGTGATAGCAGTTTTGCAATTCTCCAGCTTAAATCTCTTCAGAAGCTCGAGTTCATACTTCATCTGATGCAAAATGATTCCTTTCTCAGAGTGCATAAACTCCATCCCTAGAAAGTAACTCATTTTCCCAAGATCTGTCATCTCAAACTCATTCATCAGAACCTTCTTGAACATAGCTATCTCTTGTTCAGAACTTCCTGTTAGCGATATGTCATCAACATACAAACATACCAAAATCATATTGCCTTCTGAAGTGTGCTGAACATAAACACCATACTCCATCTCACACTTCTGAAACTCATGTTCCTTGAAAAATGAATCAATCTTCAAATTGCAGGCTCTGGGCGCTTGCTTCAATCCATACAAGGCTTTGTGTAATCTGAACACCATCCCTTCTTGATTCTTTTTCTTAAATTCAGGAGGTTGTGACATGTATACCTCTTCTTGTAATGAACCATTCAGAAATGCAAATTTTACATCTAAATGCATCAGAGACCAATTCCTGTTAGCAGCTATTGCAATCACTAGTCTGATTGTTTCATGTCTCGCTACAGGTGCAAACAATTCAGAGTAATCCAGCCCAGGCTTCTGTAGAAAACCTCTTGCTACTAATCTTGCTTTGTGTTTGCCAATTGATCCATCTGGCTTTAGCTTCTGCTCGAAAACCCATCTGACGCTGATGACTTTCTTGCCTTTTGGAAGTTTTGTCAGCTTCCAAGTCTGTTTTTCTCTATAGCATCAAGTTCTTCTTTCATGGCCTGCAACCAGACTTGCTGCTTAAGAACATCTTTCGTACTCACGGGTTCAGAGTCTACTAACATTACACACAGAATAACTTCTCCTTCGGAGTCTACTTCAGTGTCTTGCAGCATGTCAAACTCTACAAATGTTCTTGGGATGTTTCTGACTCTTTGTTGCCTCTAAACTTGAACTTCAGAACCTCGAACACCAAAACTTTCCCCTTCAGAAGCTCTTGCTTCAGAAATTGGACTTCCTCCAGAACCGTGACTGTCTTCAGAGTCTTGAAAATTCCCAGAGTCTGAATCACCAACGGAGTCAGAGTCAGAATCATCTTCACCTTCTGAATCTACTTCAGAGTCAGAGTCACCATCAGACTCGTCTTCAGAGTCAAAATCTTTACCAGCTTCAGAAACATGTGTTTCTGACTTTTCTTCAGAAGTTCTCTCATCAGAGTGAGAACGAGACTTTTTCCAATTCCAGACTTCTGATTCTTTTACAATGACGTCTCTGTTGAACTCAACTTTGTTAGTTTCTGGACAATAAAGTTTGTACGAACCTGTACTGTGGTACCCCACCTTCAGATGACTAACACTTTGCTTTTCTCCAGTCCACTTCTGAATAGGAACTATTTCCTTTAACTTCTTCGTTGGACATCTGTTGAGCACATAACATGCAGTGGCAACAGCTTCTTCCCACAAAGTATGAGGAAGCTTCTTCTCTTTCAGCATGCTTCTCACCATATCAAACAAAGTACGATTTCTTCTTTCAGCAAGACCATTGTGTTGAGGAGTATAAGGAGCAGTAACCTCATGTTCAATTCCATTCTCCTCACAAAACCTTCTGAACTCTGTGGAGTTATACTCACCACCACCATCAGTTCTAAGAATCTTCAGAGTCTGGCCACTCTGATTCTCAACCTTCAGTCTAAACTTCTTGAATTCAGCAAACACCTCGTGTTTGAACTTTATGAGAGATACCCATGTCATTCTGGTGAACTCATCAACAAATGACACAATATGTATTCCCTCTAATCGATGCTACTGGAAATGGACCACACACATCAGAATGCACTACTCTCAAGGCATACTTTGCTCTTGGAGCTACTTCTGACGCAAATGACAATCTTGGTTGCTTCCCTTCCATGCACACCTTGCATGACTTCTCAGGCTTCTTGATCGTAGGAATTCCATGTACCAGCTTCTTCGATTTCAGAAGCCCTAAGTTTTTGAAATTCAGATGACCAAATCTTTTGTGCCACAGCTCACTCTCCTTGACAACACTTGTTGCACTAAGACATTCAGAGTCCGCAGTTCTAACATTCACCTTGAATGTTCTGTTTCTTTCCTGTTCTGACTCCATAATTAGATTCTAATTACAATCATACAGCTTTAGAAGATTGTCCTTCATGGTAACTGAAAAACCTTTCTCAATCAGTTGTCCCACACTCATCAGATTACTTTTCATGCCAGTTACATACCACACATTCTGGATCATTGTTGCTTTCCCATTGTTTAGAATGACTCTGACATTTCCCATACCTTCTGCATTGAGGTATTTATCATCAGCACATTTGATCATCGTACTCTTCCCATAGTCAAAATCAACCAACCATTTCTTGTTTCCAGTAAAATGGTTTGAACACCTTGTGTCCATATACCACCATTCTAATAAATTCATATCATCAAAATCAGAAGCCAGCAATAGCACATGTTCATCATCAGACTCTCCTCGGGCTATATTTGCTTCTTCTGACTTCCTTTCTTTGTTTGACCAGCAACCTTTGGCATAGTGACCAAAGTTCTTGCAAGAGTAACACTGAACATTCTTCTTGTCAAACTTCTGCTTTCCCCTCTGGACATTCTTCTGCCTATCAGAGGTTGAGGCTTCTGACCTCTGACCACCATTAGTTTTCTTTTTGACTTTTGACCAAATCTGCTTCTGATACTTCTTACCAGAGGTTGCTTTCAGAGTCTACTGCTCTACTTCCCTCTCAGAAGTTCTCTCAGTCATACGTAACTCATGCGCCTCTAGACTACTTTGCAGCTCTTCAACTCTCATGGTGCTTAGATCTTTGGAATGTTCAATTGCTACCACAATGTAATCAAACTGAGAAGTTAAAGATCTCAATTCTCTATGATTACTTGTTCAGAAAAAAAATTTCCACAAACTTTCATCTCATTAGTGATCAGAATCACTCTAGAGATGTACTCAGAAACCTTCTCGTTGTCCTTCATGTTGAGATTCTCATATTGCTTTCTTAGGGACTGAAGCTTCACCTTCTTCATTGATGCATCACCACCGTAACTTCTGACCAGTGTGTCCCACGCAACCTTTGTTGTTTCAGAGCCAGCAATCTTCTCAAACACATTCGCATCCACACACTGATGGATGTAGAACAATGTTTTCTGATCTTTCTTTCTTATCGCTTTCTGCGTTGTCTTCTGTGCCTCTGTCGCGTCTGCTGCTAATGAAGCATAGTCATCGGTGACAAGATCTAACACATCTTGAGAACCAAACAACACATGCATCTAGATCTTCCAACGATTCCAATTTTTGTCATCAAACACTAGAAACTTGGAACTGATATCGTCATTTTCGTTCATCTTCAACCTTGTGCAGTTCACTCAAAACTCACTAACACAGTGTTTTCCAAATCCCACAGAATCAGAAAAAATGTGATTCTCAATCACACAACACCTCACTGTTCACTTGTGTTTCCCGTGTTTTTCCGTGGATTTCGAACCGAAGCTATAGATACCAATTGTTGATGCACAAATGAGAGATGAAAGACAAAAGGAATATATTAAATGACGGCTATAAAATAAGGAGTAATGAATATATTGACCTACCTATTATTAGATTATTTATACACAATATTAGAGTATAATAAAATACTAAAATACCCTCTAACAGACTTAGTCAACAAGACATTTCTAAAATATAAATTATTTCCAACATCAAACGCAACATGATTGCAACTAGGTCACAGCAGCCGCATTTATGCACGATTTCCCACATCATCAAACATTTCATGACCACACCAGCCACATTTGATGGCAATTTCTCACAACATTAAACATTATGACCATGGTTTAAAACTTTGATCAAAGAGTTATGCTATTTTGCAACCCAAAATTGACATAAATTGGTGATGAATTACGTTTAGTGATAGTTAATAAATAAAGAACCGTGCCACAAATCATTAACTATGAACCAAACACATTAAACAGCGATTTTGAATGTCATCAACCACAACTTTCAAGAGTATATTTAGACAAGGAATCATGGTTAATGAATATCACGTATATTTGAATCCGTGAAAATCATGTATATTTGAACACAACTTGGATAATTAAACAGCAGTCAAAATCGTCGATATGTGCTCATTCATTTGATGGCTAATGAGTTACGTCACTTTGTTAAATTAATTAACCATGAACTAAACACGATTAGCAACATATTTAAAGTGCAATAATCATTTAAATCGACTTGAAATTCCAAGTTGATGTTGTGTGTCAAAATATTATTTGTCTTAATTAAAATACAACTGTCTGCGGTCTGCAAATTCTAACTCAACAGACAGAAGCCGATATTAGATTAGACGTAATCACCAGAGTTCAACTCTGATCTTGTATATGTGAGTTTCTAGTATACCAAAAAAAAATCAGAAGGAAATGAGAGAGATTACCAGAGGTAGCTGAGATCTTAAAGTTGGCTGGGTTGCCACTGACAACAGGGTTTGGTAATATTTCAACTCCAGTCACCTTGACAGGATAATCTTCCTTCTTATCTACACCAAAATCAAATTCAAATCTGAACAAACATACACGACGACATAAAGTACTAAAATCTATCTACAATAAACTGCAAATTTCATGAAGAACTCAATTAGATAAATATCCAATCAAATCAACACAATCAAATGGTATTAAAAAATAAAATTGATCGAGAGGGATTGAGGGGGGTGAAAATAGAAAATTACCGCAATATTTGAAGGTAACTTTAGCTTGAACGTGAAGAGATGAAAGGAAGAGGATTGAGAGGGAGAGAAGAAGGAAGAGATTGGGAAGAGAAGGAAACTCCATAGTATAGTATAGTTGAGTTGGAGAGGTTTTTGGGAGCGTTCGTGGGGAAAGAAATTGAGTGACGAAGTAATTAACGATGTGACGAAAATTTCTAAGTCATACTCTTATTTCTTTTTAAAATTAAATTATATGGCTGATTGATAATTTATTTAATAATTTATTGAATAACGGTGGAAAATTATTTTTAACTTCTTCTTTTAAATATCATTAAATTTAGTCATAATTATATAAAAACAACTTACTATCTCCTTAATATCATACGACGTGTTTTCTAAAATGAAGGGTATCGTGCCCGAAACGATTTAGTAAATACCTCGTATTTAATATGATATTCTTCAAATTAAGTATGATATTTTTTAATTTTAATTATTTTAGAATTATTTTTGTTGAGATATAAATAATTTTCGGATAAAATTTTCAATAGAGATTTTGAAATTTTCAATATATATAAAATTTCTCGTACACTCTTGTAAAATTTCTGATTTATGTAAATTTCTGGTAGTGTATTTGAAATTTCCGATATTTTAGAAATTTCAAATTTATTAAATAGTACCAGAAATTTTAGTTATACTAATATTTTCAGTAGTTCATTTATTCAAGTTTTTTTAATGGTCGAGATTTTGCCGATATCTTTGAAGGGTTCTGATTGCATCGACAAATTTGTGTGGTCTAGAATACATCGTCATTTGTATAAATATGGACATATGTTATAGAGAAAAACATCTAAAAATGTCTCTTCCTTAATTTCTAATTAAGGCAGAAGTATATTACAACGGAACAACCTTACTGTTGAATTCAAGCTTTCAGATGGCAGCACATCCCTTGCCACCTTGAAAGAAACGTCGAATGCATTGCTGCCTGATTCTGATAACAGAAGGGTGACCAAGATCGAGTTTCGGGACCATTATATTGATACAAATGGTTGGGTGAAATACAACCTGATTGAGTTAAAGATCATGAAGATGCGAAGGCCATGTGGAAAACATTTCGCCATAGGATAACTAAAGGTCCGATCGAGTTGGATGCGGAGATTCGAAGATCCATCGTCGACATAATTAAGATGTTGAAACGTACAGAATCATCAGGTAGTGCCCAGGTTTTCATATTTAGTTGTCACCCTCTAGAAAGTTCTTCAACTTCGAACCATGGGAAATGACCTTCAGCATCAGACGCTCTTGTAAGAAGCAAAAATAAAATATTATACATCAACTTTCAAACACTTGCAAAAATAAAATATTATACATCAACTTTCAAACACTTGCAAAAATAAAATATTATACATCAACCAATTATAATATATAGCATGCCATGCCATATCTTATAAGTGACATGGTCAGTAAATCTTGTCAGCACAAACATGTCTGAAGGTTCTCTTATAAAGGCTCCATCAGTGTGAATTGATGGCTCCGTACACGCATGAGTTGTGATGTCTGTATCAGTGGGGGACACCTCATCAACGGGCTCAATAACAGCCTCATGAACCTACTCTACAACCTTCTCAGTTGTCGGCTCCACAACCTGCTCGACAACTGGCTCCATAACCTGCTCAAAAATGGGCTCCAGAACCTGCTCAAGAATCGACTCCACAACAGGCACGACCTCCTCAATAGTCTACTCAAAAGTCAGCTCAATCACAAGCACATCCACAAGAGCAGGAACATGTAGTTCTTTGGCAGTAGAAAACTCTAGCTCCTCGACGGCGTGATGCATGAAATTACGTCTGTTGCTCAACCATTTGTTTCCGGTTAGAACCGGTTGAAGGACGCCGTCAAGCCTATAACTCAGAAGTCTGAGCCACATCAGCCTTGGCCTGAGCTTCCGCTTTATCGGTCACCCTGCCCGCAACAGAACCATCTTTTCCTCTAGTCTTCACTGAAATAATGAATAAAAGGAGGGACGAAATTAAGAAAATATAAACTACCAGAAATTTAGAAATTTCTGGTATGTTTCAAAAAAAAAATTGAACTACTAACAATTTTAAAATTTCTGGTACATGCTGCAAAGTTTTGGAAATTTTAAAATTTTCGATACAAAAGGTAAATACTAAACCCGAAAATTTCAAAATTTACAGTTAGAATATACTAGATATTTTGAATTTTTTGGTAGAAAATATCGGAAATTACACAAATCCACCGTAAATTCCTTATTATTTCACGAAATTTCCGATATCGCCTAATGAATTTAAAAAATACGGTGTGGTACTAGAAATTTGGAATTTTTGAAAAAAATTTGGGTTTGAATAATTTTGTCCTTTCATACTCTTTGGCAGGTGCCATATATAACATGGATGACATGTTAAATCCCCATTCGTTAACAATAATGACATAACATCAATTAATAAGAGAAGCTAATTGAACCCTATATTAAAGAATTTAGTTAAATAGAATTGATTTTTTGAATTACATATAGGACCGATTTGTTTTGTCTTTTAAAAAAATGATTTTTATAGTGTTACTAATTTTGTGTAAAAAAATTTTACAAAGAAATTTTTTATAAAAGTTTCAAATGAAAATTTGGTTTGAATAGTTATTTTTAAAATGTTATTTTAAGTATTTTATCTTATTGAATTTTTTTTTTTTTGGATATCAAAATTTCAAAAGATCACTTAATTTTGAAGCTATTTCAAATAGATTTTCATAAAAATCATTTTTAAAATGCAACTTTTTGAAAAAAGAAAGCAATTTAGACTATGTTTTAGTCTTCAATAATATATGTTTATATTATAAGATGTCAAAATTAATGTTTCAATTTCAAAAAAAACGAATATAAAAAAATGTGTAATATTTTAAAAAATACAAAGAAAAAAAATCTATTTTAAAAAAATTGAAACAAACGGGCCCATAAAACATAAGTCAAATTTACTAAATTATGTTTTTATATTAATAAAAAATTCACTTAAATCCTGGAATAAAGCAACTATAGATAAATTGCAATGGAACGTTTGTGCTAAAGAAGATAAACTTTGGATAAGATGGATTCATATGTATTACTTAAAATGAACTGATGTAACCACCTATAAACTGGTTATACACTGCTCCTGGATCCTTAAAGCTATATTTAAATATAGAGATGTCATTATTCAATCTGCAGTTTAGAGGATGTTCCAATCTTCTGGAAGATATGAGACTAAACATGTATATAAGATGTTTCAGGGTATCAAGCCTAAAGTGTACAGGAGGAAGCTTTTCTTTGGTAATATTGTAAAACCTAGAGTTGTCTTCATCTTATGATGGCTTGTTAGAAAAGACTTCTTACTAAAGACATGTTAATACGATTTAGGAATGTCACTTATGGCAAGTGTGTATACTGTGGGTTACCAGAAAGCTATAATCGTCTTTTCTTTAAATGTGGAGAGAGTGGAAGAGTTCAGATTCAAATGCTCTCTTGGATGAGTATTAATCAAGTCTCTAGTGATTGGAAAGCTTAACTGCAATGACTTTGTCATCATACTAGAGGTAGAGGCTGCAAAGCTTGTTTATTGAAGATTGCGATGACGGAAATGGTGTATACCATTTGGACAATTAGGAACCAGATGATATTTCAAAATAGAGCAATGGGTGGTTTACGAAGTTTAGACATCTTTGATAATGTGATATGGAGAGATGAACTAGATAAAAGATTAAATCTTTTATTGTAACAGAATGTAATTTGCTTTTGTTTTGATGTGTTTGGTGAGCTTCTTTTGAGTCTGTTAGTGAAGGTGAGAAAAATATAAGAGGGGTTGAGTTGTGTTTAATGTTTCTTCTTTTCATCTTAAAATCTCTTATTAGATTTTGAACACAAGGTTAGAATCTTAGTCAGAGTATGATGATAGCAGCGGAATAAAGGTTCATAGTTAAGAAAAAGAGAAAGAAAGACACAAGCAATTATCCTGGTTCCTCCCACAAATCAAGAGTAGTCCAGTTTCCTTGCACTTCCAATAGATTTCTACTATAATCATTTTTTATTACAAATACTCAAGCACACAAGCAAGAGACTTCAAAATGCTCGAACACACAAGTAAGAGACTTTAATACTCAAGTCCACAAGCAAGAGATTTCATATGCTCAAGCATACAAGCAAGAGAATTGAGATGCTTAAGCAACAACAAGAGACATCTAACAACCTATCTTATAGATTAAGGATTGTTTCAGAATTACACTTGATATAAAATTAAAGGTGTACACAAAATACAACACAAAAGACTCTAAGACTCAAGAACTTATAATAATTTATAATTGGTAATAAGTTTTAAGTTAAGCTTGTGCAATAGATTTGACAGAGTAACAACTCTTTGTTTGTCAAGGCGCAATGATGTTATTTTCTCTAAGTTTTTCACCTCCTTTTATAGAGGAACATAAATGAGACGTTAGAGAAGACTTCATGCATAAAGAGTCTTTGAGAGAAGCATATATAGAGACGTTAGAAAGCGTCATTACATCGTCATTATCAGTGAAGGGACATTTGAAACTCCTTTTCTATGAGAGGAATTATCAATTGCATTGCATTCGTCTTCTGTAGTTTTTCTGCTAAGTCTTCATGTGATCAAAAGAAGACAAAATGTCATCAGAGTCTGATAGTGGCCTATCAAAGTTTCTTAATCCTTGAGCTTTGAATTGCTTTAGGTTTTAGAGTATTAAGAAGTAGACTTCACTCAGAATCTGAGATCTTTAGGTTCTGGTCCTTGACCAGGTTCGGAGTATGAGTCTTAAGGTTATGATCTTTCAGAGGTTGAATTTATTTAGAAGTTGACCTCCTTCAAAAGATGATTCTTCCGAGTGCAATCTTCATAATGTGCATCTTAAGGCTTCTCTTTGAATGTTCAATGTAGTGTCAAAACTGACTTTGTGTATGAGTTTAATATATGTTCCTGCACACTTGAACACACATTAGTATACCTAATTGTTATTTAAATAATTTATTATCATCAAAATCTTAGGGATGTGGTACAAACCAATTTTGTTCTAATAAACTCCCCCTTTTTTAGGATGACAAACACAAATATTTAAGAACAATGGTTA